CCGCGCCGCGCGTCGACAGGCACATGCTCACGCAGGCCGTGCGCAGAGGTACGGCTCACATTACACTGGTCGCGGCGCTCCCTACAGCCGCGGAAAGACGCGGTGTTACTATCAAATAATCAAATAACCATTTATGTAGCAGTGCGTTGTTATAAGATAATAATAAAAAGCAATTAGTCGTATACTGATCGACCTCTTCGTACAGACATATAAAAACCATCGTATTGGTTAATATTCTGTGTCTTGATTAGAACAGAACATTTAAGCGACACCGCGAGATTGCCCAACTGTACATGCCAAAATACACTAGTCAACACGCTTTGTCCATACAAAGACGCTCAAAATGCAATTGGTCGACAACTTGAATAATCCATATTGTGTTCTTTGTGTTGAGAGTTTGTTGTGCGATGAACAAAGCATGGTGTACTGGCAGGCGTGCCGCGCGTGTCCCGCGGCGCGGTGTGGTACTTCCTGGCGGAGCAGGCGAGCCTGCGCCTGCCGCCGGCGGACGTGCGCGCCTGCCCGCGCTACCACACGCCGTACCGCGCGCTGCTCGCCGCGCTCACCAAGCACCAGCACGCCATACTCATAGACCTCGGTACGACACCACACATCACACATCACACTTTACACACCATTACATTGTACTTGCGATAGATGGCGCTGTTATAACTTCATGTATTGTGTAAAACACGCTAGATGTCGCTATTTTAACAACATGTATTCATCGATGTTCGGTAGATGGCGCTATTTTTGACCGACTTCCTAAAAGAAGGAGGTACTCAATTCGTCTATATTTTTTTTTTTAAATAAGATTTCCGTTTAGGTAAAATAATACCATGTCAATTTTATTAATTATCGTTTATATTGCTAAACTCATTTAGTTTCCACTAAAGATTTCTCTTAGTGTGCGATGTAGAGCGAGCGTGTGTTGACTCAGGTCGCACGTTCCCGAAGCACGGGTACTTCGCGGCGGCGCTGGGGCCGGGCCAGCTGGCGCTCTACAACATCCTCAAGGCGTACTCGCTGCTGGACCCTGACGTCGGCTACTGCCAGGGACTCAGCTTCGTCGCCGGCGTGCTGCTGCTCCATGTATGTATATGTACATGTGTATGTCGTCATACTGGCGCCGACGGGGCTGCACTAAAAATAATAATATTATGTGGTGTTAGATGGAGGAGGCGGAGGCGTTCGCGCTGCTGCGGCACCTGATGTTCCGGCGCGGGCTGCGGCGGCAGTACCTGCCCGACAT